ACACGGAGTAGTATCCTGACCACTGAGGAAGTCCCGTGAAGAAATGGAGAGGAACGAGGCTAAAAATAATGTTAATAAGACAGAGATCTAGAAACCACTAGAAAAAAAATGGGATAATTTCCACCTACTTCTGCAATTCATCGTTTTCAAATTATTATTAGGGTGTTTTAGTCCTTGCTTATTGTTTCCTTGTTTGTTTTTAAACAGTCTTGACAAAAAATAAAATAAAATAAAATCACAACCACTGTTGCCAAAGCCAAAAGAAAGCCAATAAGTATGGCTTCCTAAGAGCATGCAATGGTTTTTCAACTTGGATTTAACCATTCTTTATTAATAAATAGAACCAAGCAGCACGTAGCAAATATCAACTTTTCAGAACATTTACTTGACAATTTATGATCTGTTTATGCAAGAAATCTACATTTTGGATTGATTTCAGTGCATATTATTCCTATAAACCAACAACATTAATCCTGGAAAAGCCACAAGTACCAGTGCTAACAGACTTGAGCAAAGCAAGCCCAATGCTCCTAATTACACTCAGTTTATCATTTTTCCCACTGTCAAGGTAAATAGTAATACCCTGGAAAAAAGCAGGCTGGCAGCTTAAATATATGTTGAATAAAAAGATCAAGCATGAAGGTATAAAAACACCAGCTTTTTTTTTTTTTTCTCTTTTGTGATATTTTGCAAAGCTATTCCAGTGGCAGAACTGTAACAGCACGTGCTTGTAACCAAAAATCACAGAGGTTGGTTTTAAGACACACCGTATATTTCAGCTTACACAGCAAATCCAAGCTTTTTGAAAAGGTCAACTGAACTCCACGGCCAGGAACGGTGAAGACGTCCGGAGAACCGAGCATGAGGCAAGACCATCCCAGATCCTGCGGATGCGGAGTTGCAGGCTACTACTGTGTTTCACTGTTGCAGGAGGAGCAAGGCTGAAATTCCTAAAATCAGCCAAAGAAATTGGCTGCGGAGTTCTATAAAATTCCAGGGGCACCGCTTACGACCGCAGTCAGCCTGAGGTATTTAGTTTAAGGAAGATTAATCACAGATGAATCAGCCTTTTGTTTCTTTTTGACATTTCAGAACCCTTTCTAGTATTCCATCTATCTGAAGTCTGGCCATGCCTTGATACTGAAGTAGACTGTTTGAAATAATTCCATTTACTTTGGCCTGCATACAAGTCTGGATAAAGATTTCAGTCAAAACACCTCTTCAAATCATGGAATGGTCTTCAAATGGCACACGGAGATAGCGCAGCAAGAGGAACCAAATCTGCCGCGCACTTCAAAGCAGGCTGATGTTATTTACTGACGTTGTGGAGTGGTGGCAGGGAAAGCAGATGAGCGGCCAAGCCCAGCGACAAGATGTGCTCCAATTGCAATATTCGCATCCAATTATTGACAGCGAAAAAGCCTCAAGAAAGAAAACCAAAAGAAAACACCAAACCAAAAAGACCTAACAACAACAAAACACACCACAGAAATAAGGGAAGGCACGTAGCAAACTCCACCAACACCCCCTTCCCAACACAAGAACGTTGAGGGGAACGTGATTTAAGGTCGGCAGGGAGCTAAATGGCAAAGGCAGCAAGCACACTGACTATTTAGACCAGGAGCACAAAACCAAAATCTACTTAGCGTCAACCACTACCAGACTCAAAGTCAGATTCAAAGAAACTTAATGGAAATAACAAAAAAGCGTAGATTAGGATCTCAAAGTGCTCAGTAGCAACTGGAAAATGCAAATTTAATATCATGGAGCCACAGAAAAAAATTTTGCAGGATAAAATGGACAGGAGCTCAGCACGGGAAAAAAAATCCCAGGATCTCTTAAGTATCCTTCTAATGTCGGTGTTCACTAAAGCTGGTTTATTTCTGTAATTCTATAAATATGTTTGTAAACAAATGCCTTCAACTGAAAATACATTTGCAACTACAGATACAGTACTTAAACGCATAGAGAAGCGAGCCTGAGACCAACATCGTTCTAAAATAAAATACCTTCTTGTACTCAGACTTTTATCACTGGCTCCAAAATGCATTAGGAAAGACTTTGCATCTTATGAGTGCTGGAAAATTTTCCAGACTATTTTTCCAACATAAGTTACCACATCTAACAGAGCCTGAAAAGTTTTACCACAAGGTCGTGAATTTCTACAGAGAACCATTTTAATCTTGTATTACCCTATTCTACCCTGAAAAAATGGAATAAAGCCATTGCTTCATGTTTTTCATAACATTTTTCCATATTAATATAGTTAATAGAACTACAGAAATCCTTTTGTCTAAATTTAATGTAGGTTTTATTTTACCAGCTCATAAATATTAACCCATACATGGGAACAAGTCTAAGAGCTGAGAACTAAAAAATAGTTTAAGATTACTACATATTCTCTTCCCCATCTTTGGTGACTTCCCTGGTACTCCACTGTTTTAAAAATCACATTGCAATTGAATGTGAGCTGTTTGGGAACAAAAGGGAAGGGGAGGGAGGAAGAGTCAAGAAATAAAAGTGCCCTTTTAAGAACTTGTGTAATTACAGATCTGTTCCATGGGATGGATGAAGCCCTTTACCCATCAGCTTGCTCCCTGATAACACGAGGTTCTTAAACTCTATTCCTGACCCACAGGAACACTGCCTTGAGGATCCTCTTCCAGGACATTCATGCTTCTGATCTTCAATGGGCAAAACATATTGTTTATGCTATAAATTGTACCATCTGTACAAAGAGAATTGTGGAGATGAAAATGTGACACTGACCACCAAAAACACGTTGCCTGTGAATTCAGCCCCACTCGCTCAGCACTGGATAAACCTCTTGGCAGCTGCGCCCTGTGCAAGGCAACTGGTGTAAAGCTGTGGACATACTTGCAGATGGCTCCTCGAAGAAACATTCGTGGATAAAAATACACATTGCATTTTAGGAAGAATTGCATGAAAACTGAAAGCAGAATACTTCAGCAAAATATTATATGGATGGCTTGGACCTCCTTAGAGCACACGACACGACCAAGATGATCCGATGCAGAAGCCAGGAGCTGTTATATGGCTCAGTCTCTGCTGAATATGATCACCTATTATAAATGTTTAAAAACTGATTTTTAAAAATTACTTTACACGAACAAAAAAAGAACCCAGAAGAGATGTCTACACAAGATTTTAACATTTGCTGCTGGATATCTATACCTCCAATCTAGGAGACGTGTATTTAAAACTAAACCATTCGGCTCTGTCCACATGCCGACAATATTAACGCCTAAATCTCAGACTGTAACATAACTGAGCAGAGCAGTTCCTTGCACAGACCCTCAATTATTTCAGCCAGGTTGTGTGCAGAAGACTGAGACTGACTTCACGCAAAGTGGAACTCCATCAAACTCCTTAAATCGGCATCATAAAGTTACTGTTCCTCATACATCCCAATTTATCTGTTAGTCCTCCTCAGCAGGAAGAAAAGTCAGCTTCAGAAAGCATTCAGACTGAGAAACGTGAACTCCACCTGACAGTATGGTGCAAAGCAGTAGTCAAGCTCAGCTGGTTTTGCTAGAAGCATTCGGTGTTTTCTTCAGAATAATCAAATTCAATTTTCAGCTTATCCATTTCCACTGATCACAGTCGGTGACTTGAAGGAAAATTTCAAAACATTTCCCAAATCCTGTGACTTCACTATAAACAAGTACAGCACACGTGTTCTACGACACAGCTTATAGAGAGCAGCGGTGCTGTCCCTAGCCTCCACTTCCAAGCACCCTAGACCAGATAAGTCACAAAGAAAATTGCAAGCAGAGAGGAAGAAAACTGTTAGCTCTTCAGCTCCTTCCTTTTCTTTCCTTCATTTAATTTGCTTACATGGCATCTGTTCAACAATGTTTGTAGCCTTTCCCTCTTCCAGACTAATGTCAGTAAGGGAACAGAGCCTCTAAGATCTCTGTCAAACCACAACCAAGCAAAGTCTCCAACATGTAATGCCAGTAGGTCGAGAGGGCACGGCTTAAACTGCTTAATCCACAATGTTGGTACTTACCCACTCCACTCTACCACTACCAATCCCTTCACAAAAGCAGCAGCATTATCCAGAAGCATTTCAAAGCTCAGGGTTAAAAATTGTTTCACGTGTACTGTTTCAGTGATAGTAAACTGGGACTGAAAAATTAGCATCAACCTGCTTTGCAACTGCATTGTATCTGGCCACGTGTACAACAAATACATGTGAGAAACAAATGAAAAAATAGCATAAAATAAAGAATCATCCCAAACTTTATAATATTGATCAATGCACAGAACAAAAAAACAGAACCTGTGGCTCAAGCTGGTGATGTGGTATCATTTTAGATGATTTAGATGACAGAAGTAGCATTCTCCAATTCTCTGGTTTGTTTCCCTCAAAATTCATGTTACCTTTGTTTTAAGCACCCTTGAGTATTTAGGTCTAATATGGTTGAGGCTAATGGATTAGGGGTGATTTGGTGACACTGGTTATGCCAAACATCCTTACCATTTTCTCAAAAATCTGCTACCTGATCCAAAATTGCTACTAAACTAGCTTCTCGGAGGTTTGATCTAGAGAGCAAGTCCCTTGTATCTACCCAAGTATAGCCACGAGCAAGAAGTCGTGCTATCACTGCCAGCAGTCACTAAGCACTAACAACAAATATTCAGTCAAACCCAAAAAAGGGAGAATTTTAGTCTATTGCCAGATACGTTGTAAACATGAGATACCCAGGTAACCAAATGACAAATTATTATCTGACAGCCTTGAAAACCTCTCCATGTGAACAGCTTTTAAGCCAACTTGTAATAAGTACCACATGCAGCTAAATTAAAAAAGAAAACCCTAAGCCAAGTTAAATAGTAACTAACATTCAAATTTAACCATATAAAGTCCCCATTAAAATCCAAAATGACAATTACAAAAATATTATATTACTATGAAGACTGTCAAATGCTTTGAATAATTGTACATTAAGGAAATAAGTAAAAACACACTTTACCTTGTATCTCATTTTGGGGCATGAATGAATGTAGAAACCCATATAATAAAAACAGAGATCAGGAGCTTTTTCATGAAGTTTCCTAGTAAATGCAATTTCCCTATGAAAAGAAAAAAAAGACTAATTATTTATGAATATAATTCCTACATTCATTTTACTTCTTCATAAAGGAAATGCTTTACAACTACCTGGCTTTTGGCTATTTAAAGGACTAGACTTCTATCAAATAAACAATGAAGATAATAAACTCAACACTCATGCTTAAGAAAAAAATTTAATTAAAAAAAAAAAAAAAACAATACAAAACACCATGTCTGGCTTAAAAACACTTTGATTTTGCCCTGCCAAGTGACTGACTTGAAATTTGAAGAGAAAGTGACTAAAAGCCTCTATTTAACAGGTTTCCTGTTAATATTCACGCATACTGGAATTCTACAGAAACGTGACCCAGCGATTGTACACACACTGGCTGATGAAGCTCAGGAAAACATCAGAGTATTTTTAAAAAACAAGCTCCAAGGATAAGCCTCTTGTTTGTTCTGCTCGTTGCACTCTAGCAATTTACATGTAAAAACATCCGTCTTTGTGCAGCAAAAGCTACTTTTGCTCGTGTTTGTTTGTATGTTTTTCTCATTTATTTCAAAAGAGAAGTGTCAATGTATTCCAAAATACATTTGCTTTTCATTTTCCTGGCGAGAGGAAAGCGGTGTTTCTACAGTGACTCTGCCAGTGTTCCTAATACAACACTCATTTTCACAGCATTTGTAACTTTGCAGCTCACATTTGTTTCAAACAGGGACGTTGGTTCTGACCTTCAACACTAAAGGGATAAAAGGACATGAGCATGTGCAGATAGGAAGCATGTACAAATCCTGTGGGTTTTTTATCACTTTGCAATTAAGTTAGTAATAAGAATGTTTAAATATACCAAAAACACCAAGTAAATATACCAAAAAGCTGGATGTAGTTTGCTGAGACCATTACGACACATTGTAATTCTGCACTACATGCATCAATTCCAAAAGGAAAATGTCCAGAAGTTATTTCCTACCTGAAAATCCAGGTAAATACAGCAGATTCCAAAAGTGAGGTTTATGTACTACCGAAGTACACCAACGTGCACCTCACCTCAGTCATCTTTAAGACACAGCACGATGTCAAACACCCCTACCAGTCCGTGCTGCTTATCCTGGCCCTAATTAAACACATTCCTCTGTGCAATTCAACAACCTGAAATGCTACAGGGGAAAAAAAGATCATTCTTTGTCTTTTTGTCTTTCAAAATATCTTCAACACTGTTTGCAATTGGTCTGCCCTGTCTGATTTAATAAAACAAAAAGACTCAAAGTGAACAGAGTAAGGTAATTAGATCATAAGGTAATGAGGTTAAAATTGGGCTGCAGTAGCAGTGCAACGATGGGCAGCAAAGCCTCTAAAGGGCCACAAGGAATTACTTCATAATGCCAACACCGGCTTGCTTAGAGCTGCTGCAGGTGTCTCCATGTGAGAGACGGTCCCAGCAACGTGCTGTAGGAGGACAAACATCACTGGGGAACAACGAAGCATCCTTCTCTTTCCTCCATCCCACCTCTCCTGCTAGAGCACCAGGGTTTCGTGCATTACAGCTGCACCTTCCTTCCAGATTCCTTCCTTGCAAGATTGGAGGCTTCCTAACCCACTGACCAACCATGTGGGTTCCCAAAATTGGGTGAGAGGTGCTGAGCAGCACAGGAACAAGGAGCGGGTGCTGCAGCTGAGACTCAAGGCAGGAGAAGGCTCTCCCCCCAATATCTTTCCATATCAGCCAGGCAGCAGCAGCGAGGTGCCACTGCGCTGCACAACTCCCATCTACCCACATTTTTTTCTGCCTAAATCATTCTCATGGAAAAGGGATTACAGACGTGCAATTCCTTTTCTGTAAAGCGTTCAGTCAGGATGCATATTTAAGGAATTATAACGGCTGTTAACACTTGGCAAGAGTGGGCAGCCAGTGAGCAGAACATATTAATTTCATTAACACAAAACTCAGATTTAGTATTCAGTGCTACATAACCCAACTCCAAAATCTAATGCTTCAATCTAAGCTCTAGCATTTTTCTTCTTATAAATGAGAGATAAGGACAAATATGATTGTCTACTATTAACGATCTTAGGTAGTGGAGGAAGGTTTAATATTTTTGTGCAAATAACAGTAGGAATCACTTGATATGTCCTGGTCAGCCCTCTCCCCTTTTATTAAGGCTGGTATTTCTTGGGTAGATTCTTCTGCCCTCATCACTTTTTACTTCGATGCCCACATATTTCAGATGATCTTCAAACCCCATACTTTCCAGGACTCAGCAGCAAAAATTCTCAGAATAGCCTGAAGTGGAAGTGACAGCGCTGCAAGGCAGTTTAACCCCCTCAGAGTAAAATTGGCAACAGCTTTTAAGGTATCAGATTCCTTTGCAACTTCCTAAATCCTCCCTAACTCTCGAGTTTTTTTCCCCTTTTTGAAAAAAAGAACAAGGTTGGCCTCCTCTAAGACTGTTGGGAACTCATTTTTATTGCCTTAAATGCAGCAGAATTTATAAGCTGCTTTTTCACTAGTTGAGCCATGCAAGCATGTTGCACTGACAAAGCTTTAAATTTATTATGTAGAAAATTTAAGATCATTTCAAGAATCCATAAGCATGGATTATGTCAGTCGGTTATTACATAAAGTAACATGATACAGACAGATACTAAAAAAATAACTCTTAGGAGCTGTTTATGGCAACTTGCATGAAGAAAAAAAAAAAAAAAGTCTGATTTTAAGTATCTAGTGTATGTAATAAAACCTAGACCACTGATAGAAAAAAAGGCCACTTCTAAACCATAGGTATTCCAACATTATTTCTACGTGTTAATTCTGATTAATTTTATGAAATCACCAGTGCCACTGTATGCCTCAGAAAAAATGAGGGTTAAAACTCTTTTAGCCTTAGACCAGTGGAGATGCAGCACTGACAGACATGTTAATGCTCACAACAGCTTTGGAGTTACCTCTGAGCTGAGCTGGAACTGGTCCAGATGATGTCCCGAGGTCCTTTCTAACCTAAACTCACCTGAGATTCTCCAGTTTCTCCTTCATAAGGAACAACCCTGGATCAAGGTGGGGAAAGCCAGCCAGGAGGCAGTGTTGTCAGCTGTTACCAAAAGCAACTTACCAGGAGAAATTGCACTGCAGGATTTAACCAGCTAAAAGCTTGCCAGAGAGCAGGAGGAGGTGCTGCGCTCCCTGCCTAGCCATTCCACCACAGCCCTTGCACCAGCTCTGGTGTTAACAGGATCTTCACTGAGCCAGCTCAGCTCGCTAACCAGGTTGCTAAAGCAGAGTAAAGCTCAGTAAATTAAAAACTGGCTCAGCAGATGACTGCTAGAAGCCTGGCACATAGCAGAGATGGAGAGGAGTGATTGCAGCACTCGGTTTCAGCAGCAATAAACCCTTAGTCTGATGTCAGCAACTTAACAGTGAACTTTGTGGGAGAAAGCCCTCGATGTATGCATTTGAACAATTCGAGCATAGATGTCCAGAAATAGTAAAATTCACCTCTACAGAGAGAGGAATATACCCAAGAAGAAAAATGATTGAAAAAAAACAAAAACAAAAAACACAACAAAAACAAAACCCTTTGTAAATCAAGAGATCCTACTCACGTTTACTCTGTTTAGATTTTGATTAAACTTCTGAGACATTGAGTTGCATGCTTCGTTAGGTATTGCAGAAGTACATGATGCGTACTTCTTAGGAAAAAACTTCCTAAAATACATACTATATATATATATATATATATATTTATATATATATTTGCAATTTGTTTCAGAAGTCGTGTCATTTACTCTTTCTAGTGGGTAAACCTAAGCAGTAGCCAAGAAGCTCCCACCTAGAGAAGATACACTCAAACTGGATGCCTTGGAGAAAGATGAGCACTGGATTTCATAGCTGGATCTCGATTTATCACATGTAACAGTACCTGAAGCAGTGTAGTGCAAATCTGAAAACACAAAAGCTTTTGCTAGAACTTCTCAGACCTATAGCAACTTGCAAATAGACTGGTCTGGCATGAGGTCCAAACCCAGTTGCTTCATGAGGATCTCACTGGGAACACTACATGCTGGTGACTAGTTTATTTCATGAAAAGAAGAAAAAAAGCTAAGAAAAAACTTGTGATGCACAAAAATGTTAATAGTAATAGAATCTTAAAATTGCTTGTGAGAGAAAAACAGCAACTTGCAATTTAGCATACAAATCTTATTTACAATGCAAAGCATTATTCATTATTCTTACTATTCTACGGATACCAGGACTAGGATGATAGTTAATTTAAAGCTTTAAAATTCATAGGGTTATTCTGTCTGTCAGGCTTTCTAAAGACAAAGATAATGAGATTAACACACCTGAAAATACACTTAGTGCTAGTACAGCAGGAGACTACTAATTCAGAAGTTTTTAGGGTGTCTGTTATTTACAATCTCACCATGCACACAAGTATAAAAGTGATTAATTTCATTTGGTGACCAAGCTAAGAAAGAAGTCCAAGGAAAAATTATTTCTATTCAAACAAAAGTCTTCTTTTGCTGAAACCAAGCAATAGTAAGTTATTTTATGGGGAATAAAAACCTAGGTATTTCATTTCTGAGTTGTTTTTTAATCTTTAGAAGTATTTAGCTAACTAGAAAGACGCATCCCTATTTAAGGATGAAAGTTAAAATCTATTTTGGAGCACAACCAACTACACAGAATTAGAAAAATAATAATTAAGTTTGGCTAGAGATAGTGTTACCAGTGTATGTTTAGACTGGAAATAAAAGCTCAAACTTGGAAACAAGTATCAATTCTTACTATTATGTCTAAGCGGATAACAAAAATGTCCTCTTACCGTAATGCAGAGTAGACTCCCAAAGATAAGAAGGAATAGTCTGGATCGTAGTACAGATAGACTGAGGACACGCAGTAGGGCAGGATATCAATTACACCCACAGCAATTATCTTCCCATCTAGCCAGTACTGCTGGTGAAAGGAACCATAGCCGCACTCTGGCCCATTTGGGGGATTCTCTGCCTGGACAGAAATGGGATATAATTATCAGCCTGGTAGACTTCCAGTACAACAAGTATTTTAGAAAGGTTTTTAAAAGAAAAATAAATACTGTGAGAAGTTATTCCTGCTGTACGTGTTTACCAAAAGGTAAGAGGGAATTTGAGAAGCAGTGAGAGCAATGGTGGTTGGTTCTCCATAGCATTTGTGATTTTCACTTTACTCATCCTCAGCAAACTCTACGTACCACCTTACAAACAGGGTAAGGTTTACTCTTTATGACCAAGTATTTTTTCATCAGAGAAGCTGAAACTCTTTGTGCCACGTAACTTGGGGAGCTCCTGCTTTGCCAGCCCACGCCAGGGCAGCTTCTGGAAGAGCACGGACAGAGGGGCTGGCTGCTGCGGGGTGCTGGGGCCTGAGGTCTCAGGGGAGCACACTTCCCTACGGGGAGAAGCTCCTAAACCAGAAACTGATGCTTCAGCTTACAAAGAAAACAATCTCCTAATTTAAACTGTATTACACAACCAACTCTGGCAGGGCTTTTTCTCCAACGTCAGGTTTACTTTAATCCTGAATTCCACAGCGCTCAACTTAATTATCCTCCTAGTCATGTTTTTCACTGTATTGCCAGATCTTCAGAAAGCTGCTTCTCACTCAATAAATCTGACAACATTACCTGCTATTACCAACTGTTTTGCATTACAACAACAAAAGGTGGGTTTAATCAAGTATTTTGATACAGTAGCGTGGACTGAAGACATGATGGGCAGTAGAAGTTATTCTAATTGGTACCACATGTGTCAAGAGAAATCAATCACATGAACCAAAATCATTTCAGCTGACTTACCCAACCATTTAGTCCCAAATAAAGGCTGTATAATAAAATGTTTGCATTTCTATGTAGTTATATAGCATCAAAGTAGATATAAAAATAGATATGCAGCTAGCTACAGATACTGTAAAAGTGAAATGATCCAATACTTGAGAGCTAAATCTGCAGCATACAAGGCTATTAGGTAGGACACTGACATACCGAGCTGGGTTCTGCTCATTTAGAGAAAGCCGACTTACTTGGGAGTGCTGTTTCATACAATATCCTCAACTTTTCAGTAGTGCCAAATGAACTCAGAGGGTCGGTATTAGCATTTTTAAGCTGGGACATGGTCAAAGTTTGAGAGCTTGGAAAAGGTTTTCTCTGCATGCAGCCCTAAGAGAACAGGTTGAGTTTTCTCCTCAGCTAGCAGGGTGCAGTATGGGGAGAAGAAAAGCAGCAAACCAAGGGGAAATGTGATTTGTAATCTAATACAGACTTGCTTAAGTATCAGATAAAACAGACTGTCAGAAAAAATCACCCTATAGGATTTAATACAAGTTAAAAAGATTGTCTAAAACAACACGGAAAAGATTTCCACTCAGAGCAAAGTCTCCTACAGCTAAAGGGCCGCTGTGCGTACAGGGCCCTGCCTCAGAGCAGCAGGGCAGGGGCTCGCCCGATGCCTGGCAGCTGAAGCATCAGTTAAGATCTGTTAGTGAGGCACGAACCACCCCGTTATTCCTCTAATTCAATTACAAAGCCATTTCTGAACATAAAAGAGGCTGTGTTCTTTAGCAGGGATAACAAGCACAGTACTCATTTCAGGCAAAGTGTTCAGGGATCTCCGTTACGTTAAGTAAATACCATTTCTAAGAAGCACAACATTTCCATCCTCCTTGAGAAGTTTCCATACAATATAATCCTTTGTAACGTCTGTACACATTATGTTTTCTCCGATTTCTCAGTGAACCCTTGGCTCCATTACCTGGGTTTCTCAGGAACCATCCAGGCAGTTTGACGTGTCACAGGTTTAGAGCACGAAGCCCTGTCCTGCAGCAGGCTGCCCCATTTCACAGCACTGGCACAGCCCCTGGGGCCCCGGCTGTCAAAGGTGATGTAAAATGCAAGGGACATCACGCAGGTGAGGCCCAGCAGTGGGGCTTACCTTATCGGCACGAAATAACACACCGTAGTAGCCCTTATGCTACAAAAATATGAGCTGCTCTTGCCACCGAAAGCATCACCACTTCTGTGATTGATGAATCAACAAACATAACATCAGAGACGTTACATGGGGAGAGAGTGAGATCAAAACCAATATTCCCTTATCCCCTTTCACACTGAAGTTCAAATGATACCATGATTCTATGATAGATGCCTTCAGGTCTTCTTAAGCAAACAAAACCCCCACTATTCTAGGAAATACATGTAAGAAAGAACAGCAAATCTTTAAAATTGTTTGCTTTGTTTATATTCATTAAATAAGTTATATTAAAGGAGAGAACACTAAAAGCAGACCTAAAACTCGGGCTATGAGAGTCAAAGCACAACTAACCATGCTGTGATTAGGAATTATTAAAAACACAGAGTTTTCATAGTTATTTCTGCCTTGCATTTTCTTCTAGTAAGGCCTAGGAATTACTTATTTTTTACAGTGTATACTAGGAGTTTAAAAATACAAAGGATTTGAGTGAGCCATCATCAGAAGACAGGGGTGTAGATGGCTCTGTTGCCTGCTTTTAAGCTGCACGGTGCAGCTGAACAATTATGCAACATCTCCAAATCTGCAGAGGAGGAAAAAAAAAATCCAGAGGGGCCAACTTGTTTCAAGTTAATAGTTTAAACTTGAGCTTCAAGACAATGAATTGTTAATAATTTGATGATAGGGAAACAAAATTACGCAAGAACTAAATCTAAAGACAGAAATTAAATAGTTTCTTCAAAGTTTAGCCTATACTGCAGAGAAAAGTATAACTTATTCCATTATATATTAATTCTATGTCCTCGCATTCTGCTTGCTGTTTTTTCATTAACAAGTGATTGCTTACATTTAATAACACCTTATTAAAATTTAAATGTTTAATATCATCTGATATTACAAGTTGCTCCAAGTGGGTCACTTCAATATAAGAAGTGCTTACAATGAAAATTTGATGATGGTGAGAGCGCTCAGTGTTCTTCAAAGCACACCGGTCTTTCTCTTTACTTTGAGGAGAGGTTTCACTGATCCTATTAATATAGAAATTGCACTGATTAACCCCCATGCCAGCCTGGAGTGCAACTGCAGACAGTGCTGCAGAGTCACCCACCAGAAATGCATCGTGACCCTGATAACTGTCGGATTATTTTCTTCTGGGATGTTTCATGAAATTTCCTACTTTGAACATTTCCAGTTTACTCTCTGCTGTGGATGGAAGGAGGAGTAAAATATGAAATCCACACTACCTCATACAAAGAAAAAAAAAAAGCAACAACAACAACAAAGGAAAGTCTTGATTTCTACACTCTAGAAGTTATTTGCCAAAGTGAAATGATTAATTCCAGCAGCTCTTCTCCCAGCGGCACACGCACAAAACCTGCCATATGGTAGATTTCTATCTCTTTTGGTTAGCAACATATTTCCTGTTCACTGCTATGTCCTCCTTTCATTAGGGATTAGTGGAGGTGCTGTGAAAGCAGCCTACAAATACAGGCTGTGTCAGCAGAGAGGTAGCACTACAGGCTTTCATTAAAAAAAGAGGAGGGGGGGGAGGAAAAATAATGCACCGTGGTGGAGCATCTGACAGATGAGGAGAGGTCTGAGAAAGCTGAGACACTCAGCACCAAAATCAGACAACCTGGGAAGGTCTTATCAATGTGTGTAAATACCTGATAGGAGGGAATAAAGCTGAGGGATCCAGCATTTTCTCAGAAGTGCCCACTGATGGGACAAAAAGCAATGGGCACACATTAAAAATTAAAAATGACATGAAATTCAAGGTGAACAGAGAAAACACTTCTCTGCTGCAAGTGGTCAGACTGCCCAGAGAAGTGGTGGAGTCTCCATCCTTGGAGATCTTCAGACTCCAGCTTAACACGGTCCTGGACAAGCTGCTTTGGGGGGCCCTACTCACTGAGCTGGTGGGTTAAAATGATGCAGGATGGGTACACGAGAGCTGAGTGCAAACAGCTACAGAAAGATCCCATAATATTGAGTAATTAACATGACAAAGGTAATAAATACAATGTCAAGCTCATGGAAAAAAAAAAAAGTGGCTATATGTGCATCCAAAACAACGTGTGTAAGCAATTTACACTTCAAGATATTTTTGAGGCTGATCAGTTTTATAACACAATCATCTTCATGCTTAGCATCAGTCAAAATGGAAAAAGACTAAAAAAACTATTAGAGAAGGATTTACAAAGAGAAAAAAAGTCATTGGATTGCCTGATACCATGGTGCATCTGAGCACTGAGGCCAGGAGCGGTCATCACACTAGGATGACCCAGGACGGCTGCAAAAGGACAAAGGCACCCCTAACTGGTCATCAAAAACTAAGAATCCACCATGATCAGCTCCAATTTTTCCTGTGCCCTCTTTCCCTAAAGACTCTCACTTGGGCACCAACAGGCTACAAATCCACACTGTCTTTTTGCTAGGAGTCCTGCAGCCGCCCTGCTCCAGGCCAGGAGCCTTTACATCTACTTCCATCGCTGGAAGTGGCAGATGGCAAACACTCAGCTGTAGCTTCTAAGAGGAAAGGAACACTAAACAAAAAACAAACAATCTCTTCCCTCTGCTGTGCCCTGTTTACTGCTAGAAAATCGCCTAGGTTTCTGCTACCACATCCTATATCGTTTTTTAAACTATTTCATTTCTCGTGCCAGAGCCCGTAGCCAAAACTGAAACTAAACAGGATCCTAAAATTGAGAAATAAAAAAAAGGCAGGAAGAGTCCGGGTGTTGATACTATTTGCAGCTAATAATGGTATTAAAAATTCAAAACAATTACAAATTGAAATCATGTAAGGCTCAAATTTGATTTTAAATTATTTTTGTTCAAAAGAGTAAACAGACTGCACACTACCAGTTTTGCTCGTGGCAACTGTTTCAGAATAAAGAATTTCAAGAATCCCTTGGCCTCTGATATACAACCGCTTTTATTTAACTCCATCTAATTGAAGACATCTGCAGTGGTGCCACACAAAATTTAATTCAAGCTTCGAAATGTCAATAAAAAGTGTCTGTAAGAAACAATACTGGTATAAACCTGGCAGGGAAGTGTGCATCAACATCTACGTAGCCATACAAAATTAAGAATATAATGGCAGTCTGCTGCCTGGGTTGACGAGGTGATAAAAGCCCTTTTCCTATAAAGTCTAATGAGCTCTATTACTCTTCAGCTTTCAGGAATGCAAAGGCCAGCGGACTCAGCAGAGAAAAGCAACAAACCCTCCACACATGGATCCATTCAAGCCGCGACATATCGAATTACTCGCATAATTACTATAACCTGACAATTTCATTACACTCACGTGGTCCTTGGCTCTCTAAGGCTAACAAGACAGACAGTGCCACGAACCCACGTTTCTTTTCCAGTAGGCAAAGTACTAAGAGCATCTCTCCTTAATTTTTAACTCACGTTGTAGTCAAACACAAGGTCAATGAATTATTTTGGAATATATTCTTTCATGGAAATAAATCAAGAACACAAAACCACAGCACTTTCTGCCTTTTTTTTTTTCCTAAATGCAGAGATATGAAATTTAGTGATAGTTCCTTATCCAGCTCCGCAGACTCCTTTGAAAATTCAGTGTTATCTTCCCTCCTGCCTGGTGATGATACAAACACTGTGACACCTGTACCCGTAGCGGTGTACTGCCTGCAGAAAGTGAAGAGGGATGAACAAGCTCATTTCAAAACTCGCGTCTAGACTTAATACATACCTCAAGAGGAGAATCACAGAGGAATCGTGTGAACTGCATCAAGGTAGATTCATCAAAAATATGTGCCCAAGAAGACAGTCCAAATATGCAAAGCAGAAAAGCAAGAAATATGTTAGTAACACTTCAGGATACATTAACATTCAGACAGACGTGCTTTCAAAACCATGTACTTGAAAAACACCAACAGGATTTAGGAGGTGAAATAAAATTCCCAAACAAATTCCCACTTTCTATTTTGTTCCTAAGCACAAACAAATATGATCCAAATGACTAATGATCCAAAACACTTCGTTCTCTCACATCCCATTTTCAAACATCTTCTATTCTACAGAATTTAAATTTATCTCTATCTTTTATTTGAATTAGACATTGCCCTTCTCTGTGACTGCCTGCACCAGGGAGTTTCTTCCCAGTTCCACTGGTACCTGCCCCATCACTAAAGGGATTAGGGCCATCATCTCTTTTAACAGAAATTAATAAAGTCTCTTTGCAATCAAAATCAAGAGCAAGCCTGTTCAAGTCTAAAGAAGAAGAGGGGAAAAAGAAAAATCAGCTTCCTGAAAGTGCAAGCATTTTCCAAACCAGATTCTTTACTCAAACAAAATGTCGTGCTACAGATAATCAGACAAAGGCAAGCTTTTAATGATCTGGAGCTTGTGCAAGTTTCTAAGAGCAGTAAAATATAATAGCTATTTATTTACCATCATTTGCTTATTTAATACGAATACCTCCTTAGTGGTGGATTCCACATAAAACACATTAAAAGATATTGCAAAATTCTATGAATTTAACTCCAAAACATTCCTTTGTTAAAGAGCTAGTTTGTGTTACACAGCCCAACTCCCCCTCCTCTAATAAGCCAAACGATTTAATAAATCAGTCATGACCAAACTGCAAAACAAGAGTAATCAAGAACTTCTGATTTGAAGTTTGATTTAAAAAAAAATATGCATACACACACACACAAAAAAAAAAAGACTGTTCACAAGATTTCTTGGTCAAGAATTCTATGAATTTCTGAGATAAGTTTGAGAAGAGCTTTCTGCTTAAAGGGGGATAGATAAAACTGCAGGTGTCAAGCATCCCATTTTTCCCTGGGCGGGGGAGAAGAGGAAGACAGGCAACATTAAAAAGTGCCAACACTACAAATTGCTGACTTAGGACTGAGGCCCATGTACAGTCTAAGTAATTAAAATTTTATTTTCCTCAGAAAATGCTGTAAATCAGATTTTAGAAATAAAAATGCAGCCTCTGGTAGATAAATGGATCTGCAAACATTACCTGGACCATTCTATCGTAGCTGGAAGTGAACACCGAATCTCAACCTTCCCTAAGATGCACTAAAAGGTACTCCAGCAGTGATGCTAACAGACAAGACCTTGCAGAAGTCAGACTCCAGATATTTTTCCTCTCCAACACACAGCAGCATTCTAGTTGAGCTGTGAATGGACAGTAAACTTTTGGGATGAATGCTGAATTTCGATTAAGCTGCTCTTGAAGACACGGGTAACGTGCATTAATCAGCCATTTCAGATGTCCTCACCACCAGAGTGGTGGATGCTCTAAATTACTCCATTTAGAAAAACAAATGCCTGTGAGATCTTAATTCAATTCCAGAATTTTTATTGGTTTGGTAGGTACGGTCAGAGATTAAGGGGAAAAAAAAAAAAACAGGCAATACTTGAAGAAAAAAAAAATTGAAAATCTGAATTACCGAGTTATGTTCCCATAAAAAAAGACCAGAGATTTACAAATTCCTGCCCTGCTCGTGCATCAGCCCTTACAGCCAGCGGGAGGATAAGCCATGTGTTACTCATTTTGATGTCAGAAGACCCCCGATAGTTCTTAATCTGTAACTTTAGCTTTATAGTGCAAGTTAAACCCTATGGGTGAGAAAACGGAGCCAGCACCACCTTTCAAATGGTTTTCTCCATCCTCCCAGCCCTGCCACACAATTGCTGGGCTTTGGGGCAGGGGAGGGCGCCCCAAGCACACCCCAGCATCACTCGGCTTGCTGGGGGCGCTGCAACTGGTGGCCAGGAAAAAATTAACTGTACTTGAATTTGTACCACCCTTGTATGGGGAGAAATCTCTGCAAGTTTTATTGCGGATTAGTTCATCTGTTTATACTCGAGGTTCTCAGGTCAGATCATTTTCTGAACCAAGCGCTAGAAAACTTCAGCAGATTGTGAATCTCTTCTAGAAGTCACTTAAGAAAATGTTTTGCTTTAAAAGGAAGAATTTAAAGACATACAGAGATGGAAAATAGCAAATATTTTAGATTTCCTGACCTTTGCTGTTGTCTTCTCAGCCCTTACTCTGTCCTCCCACCCCCATACCCACAACACTTTCACCATAACCCAGGAATATACCTGGACTACACAGCTACTTACTTAAACTAACATAAATGTAAGATTCATTTTCTAAATTAAAAACTCTCATTTTAATACTGCAGGATAATTATGAACACAATTCCAAAATGATTCTACAAACCATGAAAGAAACACAGTCAAGAGCTGGTGTTTATGCCAAATAAATCAATCTGTCACACAAGCACAACTGGAATTCCTTTCACAAAGTCATGCTCTCCTAATTTTCATTTCAAGCTGAATTACTTAAGCTTCAGTCTTTTAAAAACTACATATATGAAATCCACAAGATTCTTTCCCTGGTGCAAACTGATTTCAATTGCCATAAAGAAGCCGTCCCCACCACAAGACCAATGGGAAATAAACTCAAACACACCCAATACAACTAAGAGGACACCGCTAAGAATCAAAACAGAGGGGGAAAAAAGGCAGGAAGACAACTGCTTGAGTGCAAGCACACGCACACCTTCAAAAAGCTGCAATAAAAGCAGAATGCTAACACCTGCTGTACAAGGGAGGGAGGACGTTCAGATGCCGTGGATGCTGACACGTTGGAAACCCAAGTGGCCTGGCACATCTCGACGTACCCACCGGCAGAAAGAGCTACAAAACATTGGCGTTTTTCCTAGAGCATTCCTGGCATCCTCCCTAGATGTCCATTTCTGAGTTCTTCCGCCTCGATTAGGGCAGTCTTTAGGTATTTTAGATGCACAGGGGAACTAAAACCTTTGTAGGGAAGGTGGAGGATTCTTGGATTTCGCTGCCCTGGAAGCTCCTTTCTAGGCTGAACTCTTTCCTTGTTCTATCCAGCTCCTCTCAGCTTTCTGCAAACACTGCATGAGCATGTAGGACGTCCTGCTGCCACCAAAAGAGCACCTTCCCCATTTTGAGTGCTTTCCAGACATCACCACCTCTTACGAGTTCAAAATAAAGATGTTTCTGCTCTCAAGCATTAATTATCCTTCTTCGTTTTCACTTGTAGAGTGACAAAAGTGAAAAATACTCAAATAATGAATAAACAAACTAAAAACTTCAATCAAATTTCAGTGAGGCTCGAACCTAGTAACTGACCCGCAAAATACAAGGATGAGAAACTATCCAGGCAACTGGACTGAAATCGACCTGAGAAACGAACAATACTCTGTAACCTGGTGTGTGCTGTAAAAATACAGAAAATGAGACAAAATCAAACAAGATTAACAGGACGAGCTGATGCCATGCTATCCCACTATCCTTGAAACATCACCGTAGACCTATGTTAACAGGAAAATCAAAGGTTTACTCTGGAGCTGACATATTTAGCGTAGGTCAGCTCCAGAGTAAATCTTAGATTTTTTGATAACATAGAAAGATGGATTTAAAGTTTAAACGCATATCTTAAGGATAGTTTTCAGACCAAGAACTGAAGTAATGAAACAAGTGATTGGTGATGGGACAAAGCTTGCACCTCATAATGATGGTTTCAATTCCATTATGGGATGACAGATTCACTGTGGCTTTGCCTGCTCAAAAGAAACAATCTCACAGAATCACAGAATTTCTAGGTTGGAAGAGACCTCAAGATCATCAAGTCCAACCTCTGACCTAACGCTAACAGTCCCCACTAAACCATATCCCTAAGCTCTACATCTAAACGTCTTTTAAAGACTTCCAGGGATGGTGACTCCACCACTTCCCTCAAAATAATGGAAATTCCTCAGTCTACAAGGAGGAGTTCTTTTTAATTTTATGTGGACATACATAGAAAACTCAGTGTCAAAATCAGGAAAACCACATAAAACAGGATGTAAAAACTCTGATCTGAAACAGTGGGGACAAGTCGCTCAGTTGAGCGGACACCTAAATTCTTTGGCTCACAGGGCCTGGATCCACAGCGCTGCAGCCACGAGGCCACGCGAGCACACTGAAAGAATCAGGCCAATCCAAAAAGTGCTCTTGGATTTAAAATTAGGTTTATCAGAGACCTGAAGTGCAAGGTAACTGAAGCGCGACGCTCTGTGGCAGCAGCAGCCCACCACGAGGAGCCAGGCATCAGATTAGCGCTGTCAGCGACTGAGCTGATAAAAGAGCCCATTCAACAGCATTATGAAAACGTACTGCTGCCTAGGCAAGCTGAGGCAGATAACAATGACCACAAAGGCTCGATTTTTTCCCCAGAATTCTCTCGCTAGAAAAAAAAAAAAAAAATCAAAAAAAGAAATAGGAAACTGGGTTAAAGAGGCCTAAAAATTGGGAGCTGGCTGCCGGAATCGATCAGAAGGCGCTCCCTGGCATTTCCTAGGCTGGTCGCTCCGCTTCCTATAGTAGTGCAAGTGTATTTCTGGGAGGCAATTAAAGAAACTGGAAAAGGAAAAAAAAAAACGATACCTATTTCAGTAATTTCTTGCACCTTTCCAAACAGTGTATCTTTTGTGTGTTGATAAATTCTTTTCTTCCAAGACAAATATTTAGTTAAGCACGAAGTAAAGAGAGCGTCCAGCTCGCTCTGCAGGCGGAACTGAGACACGTACTATTTTTCTACAAGCTTGTCATTATAAAACACCCGTGAAAAGTTAAATAAAATGCTTGCTTCAGTAGGCCTCAACAGCAATAAACTGTTCACTCTGGCTCTTTCTGGAAACTACCGCCGAATTTTTATGATCATTTATGAAAATGTTTTCTAAC